GCGCCCAGAGTCCAGTGAGTGTTCAAAGCCCAGTGAGTGCTCAAGGTTCAGCAAGTGTCCAACGCCCAGAGTGTGGTCGAGGTTCAGTAAGTACACAGGGCCCTGTGACCGCGCACCACCCGGGAATCGCCCACGGTCCAACAAGCACTCAGAGTCCAGCAGCTGTTCAAGTTTCAGTGGCTGCACAAGATCCAGCGAGTGCTAAGGGCTCAGCCAGTATTCCGAGTCCAGCGAGCACTCCAGGCCCACGAATCGTCCAAGGCTCAACAAGTGCCCAGGCTCCGCTCAGCCGCACAAACGGTCGGGTATCCATAGCGCCACGGCCAGCCATCCAGCAGCTAGGGACAACAGGAACGCTGACCGAGCTCGCAGAGGCTGCGCGGGCCCGTGCTCGTGCCGCCCATGCCTGGACCAGTGCTGTCAGTGCCCGCGCCGTCCAAGCGAACGGCGCTGGAAGTGCGTACCGAGAGCCACCAGCGGTTCGTGCCAGTGGCGTCGCCCTCCTGCAGCCTCACGCAGAGCCTCCGCGTGCGAATTTGCGTCGCCGCCAACGACCGCGCCGCTGATCGTCGCGTGGGTGCCGCCGCAGGGCCCGTACGCACCGCCCGAGTCTTTTTTGGCCAACATGCGTGCGTTTGGCTGGCTGCCCGTGCACCTGACTACGCCCTTGTCCGCGGGCGCCCATGTGCCGCCAGCACACTCTTTTTTACAAACAGAAGCCGGTCGACCCATCTCGAAAAGTACGCACCCCCACGCGCGCTAACGATTTCGGACCATCCAAGGGACGCCACGACGCGATGTAGTGTCCCACGGGCGTGTAGACTACCATCCTCGATTTACTTGAATAATCAAACTGTGTTGTTCGTGTAATCTGGAGTGCATTTGCTTGTAGCTTGGCACGCAGAGGTGTCACCGCAGCAGGCTCGGTTCGCGTTTCTTGTGTCGAGGACGATGGGTTCTCGCATTCTTTCTTGGTGGTTTTGAGCGTCCAAATAGCTCCAAATCAAGATCTAAACAAGTGTCAAGCACGCAAATGACATGCACACAATGTTGTGGTGAAAGAGCGTTATCCCATTGCAATACAAAAACAAGAAGTGTAGTAGACGCCCTGGATTTACACAAGGACACATGAAAAGTTTTACTTGATATCGACATAAAGGTCCGCTTCCTCTCGGCTCAACCACACGTGTTCAACGAGACCACAAGTAGCAATTGGTGCTAGCTTGATTCCACTGGGTGTGCCGATGTATGCCATCTCCACACGAGCAGCATCCACCTCGTATAAGACTTGATGCGCTGTAATTGTGTTTCTTTCGCTGACTGGAGCAAGGAATTTCCGTCAAAAACCTCAAAAATTCAATCCCACGACACCATTTCTGCTGAAATCTGCGCGGCTTTTTTCGCGTGCGAGAGGGAGAAGAAATGCCACAGGCATGGCAAGCCAACCCCACGTCAAGAGTCTATAGTCTCCTACGAATATCGCCTTGTCACTATTAGTGCCATACGAGGGTGCCATATCCGATCCCGCCAAACGGCAACCTCGGATGACACGGTTGAGCCGCGTGGATGCTTGTCTTGCACGCGATTGGCTAAAATCTTGACGAGATACGCGCGTAACTACCTCTGCACGACGCTGATTGGCCAAAAAGGTGAGCTGCCCGTTGGGTATCTTGGTCCCAGTCCAAGAATTGCAACCTGGCAGCATGCGAGCATCGGTCCTTGCCGTCATGGCCGCCTACCTCGCGGTCGCCGCCCATGGCCTCGGCTCCCGTACGACCAGAATCTGCTGCTTGCGCTGATGCTAGCATGTAGTCCCGATCTTGGATGGCCGCTACGTCTACTGCTGGCGCACGGGCCAGTCGGTGACGCTGACCACGCTGAGCTCTGCCAAGAACGAAGCATCGGCGGAAGCGCTCAACTGCGGCCTGCAGATGACCTTTAACGCGCCGGCGACCATCTCGTAAGCCCACACGTCGGGCCTCTCGCTCATGTGCTGTGTGTAGCGTCGGCCAAGCCGTGCCTGTGACCTGGACGGTCTCGTACAACCCAAAGACGATCCTGAGCAACAGCATTGGTACGCCTCTCGATATAGGCGTATATGGATGACTCAGCAGGCGAGGTAGGCCTCACGCTGCCATTGCCCGTCATGCAGAGCCCGGCGTCGCGGGACATGTACCAAATCTACCACTCCAACATCCACTCGTGCGCGTACGCGGACAATGTCTGCAACGCGTACGACAATGGCGTCTACGTCCGCGACCACACGCCCAACACGCTCGCCAACTTTAGCGCCAACTACTCGGCGACATACGCGACAACTGGTACAGGCTTCGATCCTCGCCCTCTTCATCGTCGTCCACTAGAGCTCTCGTTTCCGCGATCGGGCTCGTTTATCATCTTTGCCCACATTGCACTTCCGGGCACTACGACGTCGGAACGATTCGACTTTGCCGTTTACCGCACAATCACCGTGGGTGACGCTCAAGTGCCGACGCCCATCGGCTTGATCGTCGGCGTCGCCGTCGGTGGCGTGGTGCGTGCTCTTGCCTTGTGCGTCACATGCTCTCATCTATGTAGGTGCTGCTGCTCGGTATCGCGTTTGCTGTGTATCGATGCCGGCGCAACCGCGCGAGCAAGACGGCGACGACCAACACCAACTACCGGACGCAGACGTCGGGACCGGACGAGACGCAGACGTGGGCGCGCGACTCGGCGACCGAGACGGCCTTGGCCCAGTGGCGCCTCAGCGAAGACGACGTCGAGCGCAGCCAAATCTTGTCCAAGGGTACGCACTGCCTCAGCGCCAAGCTCTAAATACGACTCTGACGTAGGCGCGTTTGGTGAGGTGTGGCTCGGCACCTACCGCGGCACGCCCGTTGCGATCAAGAAGCTCCTCCCTGGACGCTCGTCGCCGTCGGACGTCCAAGATTTCGCCAAGGAGATCTTGCTCATGACCACGTATCTGTTGGAACGAATGTCATGGATTTGATGACGGGAGTAGGTTCTCGTCGCCGTACATTGTGACATGCATCGGTGTGAGCTGGTATCGCCGCACCGAGCTCATGCTGCTGGTCGAGTTTATGGACAGCGGCGACCTGCGCACCAAGCTCGACGAGACGACGCCCGCTTCATTCTCCATTGCCGACAAGCTGCTGATGGCGTCGCAGATCGCCGAAGGTAACAAGCATCCTTGC